GTTAACAATTCAATCACTTCCAGTTTGGATTTAAACCCATTTAAGAGTGTCTGGGGCCCACACTCCCCTTTTGCTGGCACATGGACACCCACACCCTCATTCCCTGTGTCTGAGCCCTAGAAAGTTTGCCCTTTCTCTCTGCCATGGCTCACAGTGCCACAGGGGTGACCGAGAAGCTGTCTTTTCTTGGAGCTTCATACAGGAATGGGGCAGAAGCCCTCCCGTGCTTTGGTATTCAAACACGTCTGCGGTTTTAATACTGCTCCTTTCTGGGATTAAGATGCTGATGAGGTATGAACAGGGTGGACAGGAAGTGGCTGTGGTACTGGTGGCTAAATGCCTTTGCTCTCTCCTGTCTTTTCTATCCTTGGCCCATCCTCTCAGAGTTTGCTCTCTCCGCGCTGCATGGAGGGAAACTGTTGATACTGTGAGCAGTCTTCCTCTCCCTGTGTTTTATAGCAATGTCTCCACTCGGTGGCCCTTTGGAAGCACAAATCCTCTGCTGACTTCACAGAGCCAGTTTCTTGCAAGTGAATGTCTTACCTTCTGCTTTGTTTTCCTGTTGGAGATTTCCGAAAATAAATTTAGCGCTTTAATTAATGTTTTTGTTCCTGTTTGTACCTGTCCTCTCTTTCCATTGATTTTTCAGGCAGAGAGCTCAGAGGTGACTAGAAGCTACTAGGAATCACTAGAGGTGAAGAAAACAACCAGATACCAGGACACACATAATGCTGCAATGTGGATGGCGGTAACCAGCAGATGTTGAGCTTTTTGTCTGCCAGGCACCGTTCTAATACTTTTCTCTGCCTGTGTCATGTAATGCTCAGGAAGATTCTGAGGTGGGCACTGTTCCATCTGACTTTACTGATGAGAAAGTCGAGTCTCAGGAGTGAGGGGTAATGGGAGCAAGGTTGTGGAGACCAGGAGAGCCCAGCTGGGAATAACAGAATTAGAACCACCACATTCTTCTTACACCTTTGGTGTCCACCAAACTACGGAAGAACTAAGGACACCTATCAAAGCATTGTCACCATTAAGCATAAAAGCTTTCACACTTTCCAAGACAGATAACACCCACAACTAAAGAATACCAGATCATTCAGAAAGAGAACTCTACTCAGTGGATTTTCAGAAGGTATGCTACCGTAATGCGAGAGAAAACTGACAGAGATGGCCCACAAATGAAATTATTGTTTCCTAGAGGCCATATTTATGTGCAGATGGGTTTGCCCAAGTCAGCAAGATTTCTAAAGATATCTATTTAACTAGGAGCAGAGTGCACTACTAGTTTCATTCATTTATTACCATGTTACACTCAGTTCATCCTCACAATTATACTGCTTGCTGGCTCTGTAAAAGTTGCCATTCCTCATTTGTGGTTGCAGGTAGAGAGTCACAAATAAAATGTATTAGATCCTGGCCATTTGCAGGTGTACCTTTTAAAGTGTATGACGGGAGCCCTTTCTAATTCTGTGAAGTGAGACTGAGTCGTGCTCGTGGAAATTCCACACGGGCCATAAGTAAGTCAGCCTCGAGGACACTAGAATTTGCATCTCTAAATTTTGTTCTCTAATCCTGAAAGTAGACTCTCCTACATATTACAAGATAAAGTCTCAAACTATCAGGGTGGCCATAAATATGGAGATTTATAAATGTCTTGGCATATGCCAGGAAGTATAAAATAATCATCTGCAACCACATGAAGCTTAATCTCAAATATAGCAAGGGGCAGGGCCACTGGGAATCAACACATGGGGGCCACTGAAGTGGCTCCAAACATCAATGACGTATGTTTAGATTAAAACAGAAATGCAACCTAGAAAATTCAGTCTGGGATGTTTGGTGTAGCAGGCAACAGCTTCGGATCCCCAAGCAGACCTTCAGAATATGGGAGAAATGAATACTCCCCGATGTCCACAGTGACAACACAGATTTATACAGGATACATTCGGTATATTTTATTTAAAAGACAGATTGCTTCTCGGCCTTTTGGCTAAGATCAAGTGTAAAAGACAGAATGCAAGTAGCACATTAAAATATATATCAAAAATATTGTCAAAATTATAAAGGATATTTTCAGGTGAAACGAGCCAACTATAACTATCTGGAAAATTTACCCTCTCTTCCAACAATATTTCACTGAATAAATCATTAATTTGCATACCACAGTTTCATTAAAAAATTTTAAAATGACAAAGTGTTTTCCTCTCATATGGTCCCTGCCAAGTGTGAGAGATTGTAAGTGCAAGAAGAAATATGCAAAAAGAATCCAGTGTGTGACGGCGAAGGCTCTTCTTGCACATTTAAGGGAACAGTGGTGCCTAGCACGGAGACACACACTAAACAACACTCAGCACAAGCTTTGTGCATGACTGGATCTTCCTACATCACCTGTAGTATTTCCTAAGCAGAACGTGCTGAGTTTTATGGAGGTCAGGTCGAAAACCGTAGGTGCCACGAGTGAAGCGATATCAAACTGTGGCTGTGTGTACACTAAAGCCAAGCAAAGCAGCCCAACTCTGCTGCTACCCTGTTAACAGCACACACATGGAGTTCTCCCATCCATTCTACAGATCTGCACAGCACGTCCTACACACCTGTGTAAAGAAGTTCTTCCAGGGAATCGTCTCCCCTCAGTAGGCAGAAAGTGAAGACACTTTGGTCTAAACGATAATTAGCTGCTGATGACACACAGACCCTGCATAGATTGCTGTTTGCAAGTCAGCAGGATTCCAGGCGCCTGATTCTCAGCACACAAGAGAAGCCAAGAAATGAAAGGCAAAGAATGGAAGCTGGTTCACCAAGGGAATTCAGAGTCATTCTGGGACCCAGGGGCTTCTGGTCTTATTTAAATTAAGAGGCTTTGGGGAAGTTTTTTTGAATATCCATGTTATGTGGATTATCCACATAATCCACATAATCCATTATCCGTGTCATCCAATATTCATGCTGAGGTTAACATTAGGAAGACTTTGTTTCTTTATATTACTTTCTGGGTCTACCAACTGAGAGCCGAGGGGTGGCCACTTTCTCCTGGGATTGTGTAAGCTGTGCTGAGGATTTTATCGGATGGAAAATCAGCATTTCAGAAGAACATACTGGGATTGGGATGGAAATTTGGATTAGGGCAGGCAGGCTGTGAGAGAACTCTCTTGCCTGTCATCTTGGTTCCTGTCTTTATTCCTTGGCCTTTGCAGTCTGCTACTTGTTTGCTTCCATCTGCTTGTTTGTTTACTTGGGTTTCAACTCTACCAGGCAATAAATACCTGTGGTTTATCCTGGGATCAGTACTCAAGAAAATCTCAAAGTTTGATTACCACCCAGGTGGGGTATTTCATTAAGAATAGATCATCCCAGAATTACTGGGCTGGCCAGTATTGCATTATACCCTTATACAAGCAAGTAAAAAATAGCACAGGCACGTAGCTAAGTAAAACTGGTACTGGTTTCCTTCTGGCAAGTTCCACCGGCCTGGTCATAGTCCTCACCGTGGCCAAAGTAGGTTCCTTTGTTTTGAAAAGTAAAGAAAATAACTATAACAAAGAGACACCAAATCAGGTGGTAATACTGCAATTTTCTGTCTGCCAATTGACCAATCGTTCTGTGATGAATCTACTTAGACTCACTTTCCAATGTTGATTTATTTATGGTGCCTGAACTGGTAATTAGTTATTGACTCTGTGAAAAACAAATTATTTATAAAGTATATATTTTACAATGTCACAGGATACAAACGAGCTTTAGAATGACCAATGACTTTTCAAAGCAACTTAGTCCATACCATGAGGGACACACAAGCCACACTTTTTAGGGCACTGTGTGGCCAGTGTCTGCTGAATACAAGTGTTCAATAAGTTACACGAGACATTCAGCTCCCTGTTATGATACAGGCTCTGTGTTACATGATTTCACCTAACTGTAGGTGACTGGAAGTGTCCTGAGCATGTTTATGGAAACTTGGGCTAAATTCTGTAGTTTGGTACATTTAATGTTCAGTGTACTGATGCATTTTTTGATTTATAGTATTTCCAATTTATGATGGGTTTATGGGGAATGTAATGCCATTTTAACTCCAGGATAAGTAGAGGAACATCTATAGATCAACATTTTAAGATAGGCTTGAGAGTCAAAATACAACCACTGCTTTCAAAAGACATTAGAAACATTTCCCTCTAGTTCTAAAGTTGCCACTGTACCTGCTGTTTGCATATTTGTGCATTATCCATTGGTCTTTAAATGTGTATGCAGTCCTTGAGATCTCTCCTCTCTGTCCTCTCTTCCCCTCTACTGTCCCCCCTTCTATCTCTGTCCAGTACTGGGAGTCAAACCCAAGGAGTGCAGAACTACATCCCCAGCCCTATTTATTTCTGTTATTTGCTTTTTGAGCCAGGCTCTCCTATGCTACCCAGGCTAGCCTCAAACTTGCAGTTGTCCTGTCTCAGCCTCTGGACCAGCTATGATCAGTGCATGCCACCACACCCAGCCCCTTGAGTACTTCTTTCATGCCCTGTTGGGGTTTGTATTGGAAGACAGCATCAACTCATTGCTGTCCTCATACTGTTGACAATTGTGGTCTGAAACACATAATAGTTCTTCAAAGTAAAATATTTAGATGAGATCCCGGGACCAATAGGAGACCCAAACTAGAGGAGGGTTTAAATAAACGCCTCTTTCAATAGCCTTCAATAATGTGAGAGAAGGAAATCAACAGATTCCTTTAAAAGAGAGTCACTAAAAGCAGAGTTTTACCCTGAGAATAAAGGCTTAGAAAGAGAGAATAATGAAAAAAATGCATCCAGGTTTCAGTTCTCAAAAAAACAAAACAAAACAAAAAACCCAGGCTCATTTCGCTCGTCACCTTCTCCAGTGACCACAAGGTGGCAGTGTTTCTGGGCTTTGCTGCTGTGAGGCCGGAAACGGAATTGGGCAGCGTTGAGGCCAGAGTGCAGGTGGTGGAAGGATTTAGGGCATGAAATAAAAGCAGCCAGCAAATACCACTGCACTGGATATTTAATTTGTTTGCGGTATAGCTTGCATCTCTGAGGGAGGGTAAGCTGGTGCCTCGGTCTTGAAGGTATCTGAAGGGACACAATTCCGTGGCCTCCTTTTGAGCTCTGCCGAGATGAGTGCTGCTGAAGGCCTTGGGAAGGAGAAAGAGCAGGCGCGGCTGCTGGTAGAGGATGCAGCGCGGGAGCCTCGATTCCGCCCCACAGGGGTCTTCAGGAAGGAACAGCGGTGGCAGAAACAGACTTCAGGGCGGCGGACAGCCGTGGCAGTGTTTGCGGGAGAGGACCCTTTACATCTGCGTGCCAGAAGTAGAGAGGAAGAAGCGAGGCCTGCAGAACTCAGCGGCTGTGCTGGCTTTGAGGGCAGAGAGGCGGAGACAGACGACCAGGCAGATACCAAGTATGATCGAAAAGTACGGCGAATATTTAAAAAAATTTAACAGTAAAAGTCACATTGCCACCGTCCCCTAAAACTATTCCGCCTCGCTTCTTGTCGCTTTCTGAAGCAGTTCTGGATGACCTCTTTCCATATGTCTTTATGACACACACAGTCATAAAAAGTACGAGAATGCTGCTGCCGAGGGCCACCCACCAGAAAGGCAGGCTTGTGAAAACCTTACGTGGTCCTCATCCACGTTATTGCCAGATCTGACACTGCGTGCCTTGTTTCCTCCCCCAAAGCAAATGATCATGAAAAATAAAAGTTTTGAATCCAATTCAGGACATCGAGGCAGCCACAATGGCACAACTGAACACACTCAGGACAGAGGACTTCCACAGTTGCTTCAGAAAGGGCAAGAATGATGAGATAAATATGTTCCCAGCAAGGGGGAGTAGTTTAAGGTGTATTCATGGCAATGTGTCTTACTGTAATAATTTTTTTAAAAAGTGAAATATTCACTGTGTTGTGTGACCACAGCATGCAGTCATTATTCCAACTCAACTACTTAGAAAAATAAAGCAAATTTAGGGAAGAAAGTGGCGTTTGTGGTTGGAGAAGGCTAGCCGTTAATTCACGACAAGGGGTTACCACTGGTGGGAGGAAGAATGTGTGATCTAAGAGTCAGAGCTGAGTGTGCAGTTGGAAAGTGGGGGCCATGCAGGGGTGTCAGCAGCGAGGAGGATGAACTGTCCCAAGTACTAACAATCCCGTGTCCCCTGGGTGGTGACAGTCATCATGCTACTAACAATATTCTTCCATGTGGCAACGAATATTTTCAAAGTTTTACATAGATCAGGGATATGTATTTCTTACAATAATTACTGTATTCCAAGTTGTGTAGAAGGGTATCTGAATTGAGATTTGTTATCCATAGAGATCCAGAAACGTGTAAGACAAATCAAAGGGCTATATTTGCCGTGCAAAGGCAGTTCAAGGCAAAGGGTCTAGTCCCCTCCTGTGCCCTCTGTCGCCATCTAGGCATTCACTTTACACCCTTCCTTCCAAGTTCAGAGCCATCCCGGGACGACACAATGACAAGGAAGCCAGGAGAGCTGGTTGTCAACCCGACTCGGGCATCAGACTTACCTAGGATGCTTAGAAAGACACACACGCCTGGACCCCGTCTATAGAGGTGTTGATTCAGTGGGTCTGGGGAAAGAAAACCAGGAGAGGCAGTTGTCCAGAACACAGGAGAAGCACTTAAATGAGGGACCCGCTGCTCTTACCTAATTTGGCAGAGGGACCTAGGCTGGTGGCTGGGAACCCTTCTAGGCCCTCATGGAAACATCATCACTGGGGTGTTGGGGGGGGGTCTTCCCTGGAATGAATGGCCCAGGGGCAGCGCAGTTGCTAGGAGACAGCTGTAGCAACAACTGGGCCAGCCAGACAGGGTCTAAATGAAAATGAAGCTGCTCTCTGAGTTCCACAAGACTCTTTCTTCCTCACACCTCAGCGCAGCAGGCTTTATCTCACAGCATAATCATTTTGAGTTATCTGCTTCTCCCAGATCGCACACTGAATTCCTCCAGGGAAGGGGCCTCGTCCTACCAGACACTTCCTTGAATTCCTAATACAAAGGCTGAATCCACCTGGTTGTTTTCTCTCTGAAATCAGATTGGAAAAGAGGCATCATCACACCCCGGTGGTGGTGTAATTAATACACCTGAATGCTGGGCTTGTGTAAGGAGGAGACCCAGCAACCTGCTTCTCTATCCAAAAGAAAATCAAAAGGCATAAAGTCTTCAGAAGTAACAAGGCAGAATGCAAGGATTTAAACTGTTTATCTTGCTACTGGTTTGAAATTTATTGGGACAAACAAACAAGCAAAAACCAGATCAGGAATGAGTGGATTTGTGCATTTAAAAGCCCTCTGTGAGGAACAAGGAAAGCTGTTTTTGTCCAGATTTGAAGAAAAATAATTTAAGATGACTTATCATGAAATTATCCTGTGGTAATTTATTATCCAATAATATAGCAGGCGATTATGTCTTTCTCTGCTCTGAGAGAGTATTCATACTGTTTTCTATCTCTGTTGCCAGCTCAGCCCACAGGAGGGAACTTGTATGCATTTTGATACTTTATCTTGGGGACAGCTTTGCAATTTGATAGCACACTGTTTTAGAATTAATAAAAGTTTTTTAGAATTTCTTTTTATTCCATTATTCTTTTTAAATGTCTTTTTTCAAAAAAATCGCATCATAAATTAAAAATAAGCTATCTCTAAAGAAAAATTATAAAACAGTAAAATTTAACTGTATTGTTTATGTCTTTACTCTGCCAGTTTAATAATCCAAGGGTTGAGTACAAAACTCCCTAAAATTAATTAGACTAGAGTCTCTAAGATCTTTTGCAAGACATGGCTCTGGAAGGTTCTAGAACTTCAATCTAAATTGCCAACAACAGCTCCTCTTGACAATGGATTCTTACTATTCCAGCTGCTCATACTTTCTCTCAGCTCCACAAATCAGTGCTCTATTTCCCTTTCCCTTCCCTTCCCCATGTTTAATTAAACATAATTAAAATTTATTTGGGATTCTGGATGTGATGCACTTCACCTATGAAGAGAATTTGAGGAACCAGCCTAAATTCTGGTTCTGGGCAGGTCGGCAGGTGAATTTTTCCTAGCTTCAGAGCTTGGCATTTTCCTGTGGTATTGCTGGCTTCGAGTGAACATTTGATGCAGGCAAAGGATTGCTTGGTACTCTCCCACTACTATTCTATCCAACATCAATTTTCCAGCATGCTCCTTTTATACCTATTACTTTCCATAAGAGACCATGTCCTTGCTCACAAAACAGAATCGATGTGATTTAAAACCAAAGTTACACAATAGTTTTGTTGTATAGTCAAAAGGCTTTTAGAATAGTGTGAGTTATACAAACCAGCTTCATATCACAAAGCTTTGAATTATGATGCTGTCTTAATTCTACAGGAAGAGGGGAGGGCTCTGCTTTTAACAATAATGTTTAATTTTTTAAAATCAAAATGTCAGGAGACTCATTTACATTATATTTTATTGACTTGTTCTATTTTAGTGGCAAGCGCAAAGTCATTTTGATATGTGGCAATTTAAAATAATTGCCCTCCTCAAAATGGAAGGGAAATGAGCCAGCCCTGTGGATCAGCTCTTCAGGCAATATGTCTCCATATGTCAGCTCTCTGCTGTCGGCACCACCTGCTCGAGTCCCCGTCAGGGACCCAGACTGATGAGATCACTGCAGCGAGCTATAGATCTTGGGCAAGTTAACAGGTCCGCTTTTGCTTGGTAATGAGGAGAGTGTCTCTGGAAAGTAGGAAATTGGAATCTGTCACCTCTCAGCAAACTGATGAGGGATGGCTATTGTTTTGCATCTCTGCAGGGTTCGCACAGTTTATTAGCTATTCCTCCGCCCCGAGAGCTTGGTGTTATCCTGGCTCTCTGGGAAGGGAGCTGCACAGTGTAATTGTTGAAACACAGAGCGGGAGCAGTTTTCCTGCAAATTCGAGGACATGAGCTTCACCTGCCATCAGCCATCTTCACAGTGGAGAAGGGAGGGGATTTCCAAGGTGACACTGGCTAAGAACACCAATCAGAATGCTCTCTGCAAGTAACTCAAGATCCTTTGGGAGTGATTCTGCTTCCCAAATTCCTGAAATCAAAATTTTGAAGCACCAATGCCGATGTGTATGGCTACACTTTCAGTCATTCCTAATGTTGACTGGGATGTGCTTGGGGTTTAGAATAACTGAGGAGTAAGAAAACATAAGTATTTATTTAGGAATCATTTTTTAAAAATTAATTGAACTTTCTGGAGGGAAGGATTCAAGTTTTTAGTCATTGCTTCATTCTATTAAAAAAGAAACTTCGGAGAAAAGAAAGTCCCTCCTGAGGAAAACACTGTAAGTCATACAGTTGGAAAAGGCCTTAAAGACATTCAGCTTCACACTATCATTTCATATGAAGTAAAAGGTAATAATGAATAAACAGTTACTACAAAAAAGGGGAGAAATACCTATTTTAGAGAGATATAGCACAACTAAAGCTTTCCAACAGGGGTGTGTCCACTTCCTTGGTCTCAGCACTAAAAAATAATGGTGAAGGGTTCAGGACACAGTTCAGGGGGAGAGTACTGGCCTAGCATGTGTGAGGCCTTGGGTACAATCATCAGCATTACCAAAAAAAAAGAAAGAGGAGGGAGAGGAAAAGGGGCTGAGGGAGGGGGAGGAGGAGGAGAAGAAGAGATAAAAAGAAATTAAGAAATATATCTCACATTGCAAGAGCAAGTAAGATGTCATGAAACTATGTGTGACTTGCAATACAATCGATATGCCCTTCTTATGATGGCTCAGAAAAGCTTGGAAACCACTGCCTTCGCCTTTGAGTTTGAGGAGATGAAAGGAAACATTCTTTGCGTGTGCATTACCAGATTCCCTACTTCTTGGGCCAGTGACCTCCATTGAGTAGATTTCATGGCCCATTATGTAATACTTAGATTTGTTTCCAGAGTCAGGATTTATTTCTCTCCACAGTATAGCCAGAACCCCATTTTCCAGCTGCTGGGCCAAGCATTCTACTTTAAAACCAACATTTGTGTCCTTAACTCCCCCTGGGATGAATTGCAGCCACCTCTCAATTGTAGTCCAACTTTATGCCACAGTTTTAACAATCATGATTGTGTTTTTTCGCACAGGATTTCTTTTGCCTTTTAAACAAGAGTGCTGTTTAGTTGTAGATATTGTTCTAGAAACATTTGTTTTTTTACAGAGATTAAACTTTGTATAAGGTATTTAAATTTTAAAAAAGAACATCATGTTGACATTATAAGAAACACACTCTCCAAAATGAATCTGCCTAAATTTCCAGCTAAAACTGATCCCTTTGGATCTAGGGGCTGAAAGCAAAAACTGATGCTGGGATCAATTAGAGAGAGCACACAGGAGCAGTGGCACGGGAGATCTTACGTGCACTGCAGAGAGCACAGGACAGGAAGAAACTGGGCTGGCACTGCCGAGGGCTGCTCAGTCCCTGTGGCTGCTGTTACGGATTAGCACACACAACACACACTTGCTAGCTGCCTGTCTGTTCCATACAGGTCTCGTTGGGCTGAAATCAAGGCACTGGCAGAGCTGCGCTCCAGTGGAAGCGCTGGGGAAAATCCATTTCCTCGCCTTTGCCAGCTGTGGGAGGCCGCCTGGATTCTTGGTTCCCTCACACAGACCTCTGCTTCCCTTGTCCACGTCCTGTTCCAACTCTGACTTCCTGCCTCCCTCTCACTTCTACAGGCCTGAGAGACTACACGGGGTCCATCCAGTCTCCCCAAGTCGATGACATCTGCAACTTCCCTTTGGATTAGATAGTGCACGCACACGTTCTGGGGATTAGGGCAGGGGCATCCTTGAAAAGAGGGGAGAGCATTACCCAGCTGGCCACAGGGCTACAGTGATGTGTTTGGAATAAGGAAAAGCGAGGTCCCCAGTAATCCACCAGATTCCCTGGACTTGTGAACGTGGCTTTACGCCGGTGACAATTCTGCGGAAGGGCGGGCGGGGTTACCAGGCCCTGCCCCCTAGGCACCTGCAGAGGTGAAGCCGGGCAGCGTGGTCTCAGGTTGCGGCTCTGCCCTTTTCCTCTGGGCCGCACCATGCACGCGCTCTGAACGGACCCACCGCACCCCACTGGTTGCTTCCCAGTGTTTAGCAGGCAGCCGTGCCGCTGAAGCTCCTCATCATTTGAGTCTTCAAGGCACCTGTGTACACTGCATTTTTCACGGCCGTTATTTTCAAGCTTCCCTGTTATGCCTGGATTAGAGACCGTGGCATAAAAAGAAAGAAGAGAGAATAAAGCCACAGGCGAAGCAGGGTGAACTGGGGATAAGAAGGTGGGGGAAGAGAGGCCGGAAACCTTCCGAGAAGATCTTGCAGATAAAGCCCCGGCAAACGTGTGGAAGACGCGCTTATAAAGAAAGGGTCAGGGATAAAATAACATGGAGGAAGAAAGAGAAAAATACACACATCTGCAGATACAGGAAGCCGTGTTTGAAGACAAACTCCTGCGAATGCAGGGGCGTTACTCTGCAGAGATCCTGGCGCTCAGCCTGATAGCTAAAACACTGCACTTGGTCAGCCCCGACGCACTGACTTGAGGGGTTTGGGCTCGCTCTCCTGACGACTGCGGGTAGTAACCGAGTGTGTCTGAATTTGGAATTTCATTCCTTCATTTCTCTCTCACATCTTGCATGGAGAGACAAACCGTTGTGAGATGTGGAGAAGTGGTGAGCCCCAGCGTGGGTCCAGGGAGCAGTGCCTGCAGCCCCTCCCTGGGGTGACAAGCCTGCTGTCTGCATAAAGACCCTACATGCAAAACC